TAATTGTATTAATTCGTTCGTACCTTTTTTTCTCTGCAATATTTGAAGTAAAATGTTTGTAAATTATATAATTAAGTGTATAACACGAAGATATACATTTTTGCATGTGTATATACAATTTTCTCTCGCTTTATACAAAACAGAAACATAATTATACACTTCTGTGTATAAAGCGAGAGTGGCGAGAGAGAATGGAGAGTGGCGAGCGAGATTTTTGGAAGAGAGACGCTGACAAATTTTAGTTAATGTTTGCTATGGAGCACAATTAAATCAAACCCTAGCTATCCCATTTAATTTAGGTTATTAGTTTGCTATTATATACAATTTTTCCAATATTTATCATTTAATATATTTCTCAAAGCATTAGATTTAATATAGTGAAAGGATAAAATAGTAATATTTATCCTTATTATTTATTGTTTCTTAAAAGGTGTGTCAAGTCAATAGTGAATAACTATTGTTGTGCAGAGGAAGTATTTAAAAATTGGAGTTGTGTTCGACATAAAAGGAATTACAAATGTTTTTTTTGAAAAATATGTGAGTAATTTAGTGTGAAAATAATTTTTTGTTGCTTTTGAAATTTCTAAAATTTTGGAATTCAATTTCAAGTTACCAAATCATTCTAGTCTCTGGACTGCATCAACTCAAAACGTGAGGCTAAATCCATTAATAAGACCATGTCTTTGTGACAAAAGACTTGCATGTTCAGCTTAACTTAAGGTAATGGGCCAAATTTAACGAGTCGAACTTTTATGAGTAAATTTTAGGAATAACAAACATAATAATTATATTAATGTTCCATATCTATAATTTTAATAATTGTGTTCCATAACTATAGTATGATTTGCTATGGAAATCCTGATTTGTATAATCACGAATGCTAATTATATAGTTCGCGAACCCTGCTTTGTATATATATGAATGACAAGTTTATATAATTCAATTTATTGGCAGGTCAAACAATGAAATTGTATTGTGTTTGTTACATCGTTTATATATTCAGGTTTAACGATATTAATTGATCAGTTCTTTATAGATTCATTTATTATGAACACTTGGATGATTCGTAAATGAAACGTTTTAGTTTTTTTTCTAGATTTGTGTACATATACATTACATGTTTGTTTGTATCTCTGAAAATTGCATTTTTCATGTGAATTTGTATATGTTTATGTTTTATGTGTTATACTTCATCATTTTTATTATGAACAATTAGATGATTCGTATATGGAATATTTTAATTTTTTTAAATATGTATACATATACATAACATGTTCGTTTGTACCTCTGAAAATATTTTAGTTTTCTAGATTTGTATATATGGTTCATTTGTATATACCTCTTGTATAATTATGTGAATTTGGAAAAGTATATGTTCTATGTAGGTTCAAGCCATATCGCAAACTGCGCGAAACATTATCTACGAAATACAATTAATGTAAATTGTAGCTATAACACTTAAAATAGAATTAAATGCTTGCTATTTTCATACAGTTTTCTCAATTCTATGGCCAAGCGTGTTATTCAATCCACCTTCCATCTAAGATCCTTCTCTTGACTTCAACCCCGATCCGAGACTCGACTTTCAACCTCAAATCCCAACTCCCAACTCCTAACTCCTAACTCCCAACATAGAGTTTGAACTTAGCTCGACCACAACTCGATGTCAAAGTCAATCCTAGCTTAGGGTTAGATCGCCGACATTGGTTCAATATTAAGGTTCTTCAGGTCTCGAGTCAACTTCAAATTTTGGGGTGTGTCTGTGGTCATTGTTGGGTCTTAGATTATAGTTAGATCAGGGCCAAGTCGAGGATCAAGTAATGAGGTGGGGTCGAGGATATATTCGAGGGTCAAGTCTTGAGTCGCTGTCATATTTTAGGTTGATATTGATGTTAGATCAGTTTGAGGGTTGAGGTCGGCCAAATGGTCTAGGTCTCTGTTAAAGGTAAGGATTCAGGTCTAGTGATATACAAAATATTTTTTCAAACTATACGTGAATATTTATGGAATAATATTTTTTTTTCCACAGATTTGTTGATTAAGAAAAACACTTATTATATGGATACTTTCTTAACATCATCAACAAATTTCATTTTCGCTTGTTTCAATTAATAATCCTAACAAATAATAAAATGAATCTATCAATTATTTTCTGTTCAAAATTTGAAATTTTTTGACTCGTGTTTTCAAGTATCCATTACGTAGATAAAATCAATAAAATAAAGTATTTTATTTTTTTCAAAATCTAAGATTTCATGATATATCGTATCAAATTCACACCATTTAAAAAGATAAATAAACACATGCAAATTCACTACGTATTACAGATATTTATCATGTATTCAAAATGTGATATCGAGTTTCAATGTTTTCGATGAAATTTACTAACAAATCTAAGCTATAGTAAATGTCCTAATCCCCAAAATCTGCAGACACCACGTGACACTTGTATTTCTAGTTCATTTTAGAAGAAACTCAACACTCTCACTCTCACTCCGCCCTTTTCTTCTTCATTTTTCTCTCTTCTAAAACCCTAGAATGGAGCATCCTTTCTTCATCAACAATGGCCCTCCAACAAATCGATCAGAAGCTTTGCGTTTTCTGTCAATAGCTGAGAAACTGTTAACAAATCGTGACCTAGTTGGAAGCAAGTCATTCGCAACCCGGGCTCGTGATGCCGACCCGACATTTGCACCTGCTACCGACCAAATACTCGGCATCGTTGATACCTTGAACGCCGGCGACAAACGGATAAACAATCATCACTTTGACTACTACTCTATTCTACAGATTCCTCATAACCAAACCCAGAATGTGGATTTCATCGCTGAGCAGTATCGAAGGTTTGCGCTTTTACTAAACCCACAGAATAACAGTTTTCCGTTTTCTGATCAAGCTTTTCGTCTTGTTGTGGATGCGTTTTCTGTTCTTTCTAACCCTATGAGGAAAAGTATGTATGATAAGGAGTTGGGTTTTTTTCTTAACCTTTACCCTGTTGCTGCGTCTACTGCACCTACTTCTAATTTTGTGCATCAGAATGTTTATCAGTCAATGCCTAGTTCGAATGCAGACCAAATGTTTGTGAATTTGCCTAGTCAGGATGCTGCTGGTGTAAGCTTTAGTAGAGACCCACAAGCTGGAATTTCTATGCCACCGACGTTTCTGACTCGTGAGCAAGAAACTGTGACCTCTATGGGAAGCTCGGACATTGGGCAGCAGCAACAGCAACCACAACAACCTGTAACATTTCTGAGACAACAAACACAACCTGTGACTTCTATTTCATTTTCGAACACTGATGAAAAACCTGCTACATTCTTAAGTTTGAACCAACCACAGCCAGTAACCTCTGTGAGAAGCTTAACTAGAGAAAACCCACCAGTTGGTGTCCGATTGAGCTCGACACAAGGGCGGGAACCAGTGGTTACAGTAGAGCAGCATGGGAATCAACAGCTCCCAGAGAGAAATGAGAATGTAGTGGGGAACAATGCAAATAAGTCTGCAAGTACTAGTGATGATGTGAAGGAGCAAGAAGGGAATGTAGATGGATCAGGTAAGAGGATTCCCAGTTTCTGGACTGCATGTCCTTTTTGTCTTATTATGTATGAGTACTCTCTGGATTATGCTAA